TGTTAATGATCTTCTGTCTTCTTCTGCTCTTATCCTCCTCCCCCCAAACTACCAAACACCTTTCTGCTGAAACTATTGAACTGATTAACATAATCAAGTTGAAATTAGAGAAACCTGTGCTCAGTTTAAAAGGCTGCTGAGTCTCCCTCTTCTTAGACACACAGGATGGTGTAAGCACTACTCCAGCCCACAGAACTTGCCTTGCTGAATCTCTGAAGAGGCAGAAGTGGAACTGCTTTAAAATGTATTTATTTGCAGGCATAAAAAGAACCTAACTTCCCTGAGTTTATAAAAATCTATGAAGGGGAGACCCAGTGAGCAGAAGGAAAGGCTTGGCAAGGGTCAGGATGACAGCAGTTAACAGGCATGAGTAGAGCAGCAGCACAGCTGGTGATGCACAAGCAACAGCACTGCTGAAATGACACACAGAGTCATGAAGTGGGTTGAAGGAAGAAGTATGGAAACAGCCAGGGAAAGCATTCCAATGCTCACAACCCAGAGGAGACGCTCCCATCTGCCCCAAAGCCAGTGTGCTACCTGGATGCAGAGCAGAGCACAGGTATCACACCCAAAAGAACGTCTGGCACAAGGATCTGTTTGCCAGGGTGGCTCTTTTTCCAGCTACTGAGTGCAACACTGACTGCAATATTTACAGCTGATTTTTTACATATCCCAGGAAAAGGGTTAATTCACCTTCTTCGCTGAGCCCTCAGAACTTTAAGATCCTTCCTTGAGCTTTAAAATCATCTGTCTACCTCCTAAGAAAAAGCATAATGCAGCACCCAGTATGACAGAGAAGCCATCAGCATTATTTTAAATCTTTACTGATTACAGAACAAAGCAGATGGCAAATCAAGTCATGAACTCCGCATCTGCCATGCTTAATGAACAGTTTAATTACCTAGTCCCATTTCTGATGCATCTTTGCCACTCTCAGCTCTGGGAGTCACTAATATACTTCACACTGACTGATATCTCCAGGAACATGTGGTATCAACAGTCAGCTGGAGCTGGTTAATCAATACTTGTTTAATCTCCAACTTTTATGGTGATGGCCTAAATTATGTCTCAATAGAAACAGATTTCCTATCACATCACATGATCTGGTTGAAAGCTCAGGAAACAAAAGGGAATTTTTCAGCCTCTTCTCCGGGCAGCAAAGTACCCAAAGGCAGACGAGAGCACAGACGGGAAATAAACACAGTGAAACAACAACATCCAGTACAAGCAGATTAATTCACTCGTTGCATTATGCCTTATCTCAGAGCAAGGGAAGCAATTATGGCAGTGTGCATTCACAAAGTCTACATTTTGAGAAGTGAATTGGACTCATTTGGAGTAAGTTACAACTGAAACTGGGCTTCACATTTTGAGTGCTGAGCTTCCTGTGAAGGATCACACACACTGGCTGCACAAAGCAGGGCATTTTGTCTCTGGTCAAACCTGCTGCACGTGGTATGGGCTGATCCTAACTCACTCTGCAGCTTCATACAGTCTTTCCATGACATATCGACTCAATCAGCTGCTTGCCCTCAGATAAGGACTTTCAGAAAGGGCTTTTCATTTTGGGAGACTTCTGTGTCATATAAAATTTCCTAAGAGACTTAAATTTTAGCCATTCAGTAGCAGAACTGACTGTTTTTAACTGCTTCATAAACAAAGACCAGAAAAAGAGAAATACTCACAAGCTTAAAAACAACACAAAAGTTAAATTCAAAACTGTGTGGGTAAACATGGCATTCAAAACAAATACAGCAGGAAATCAAACAGGAAAAAGGGCAGAGGTGGACTAGGTCTTTCCCCAGCATGCCAGTACTGCTGCATCGTAACCACCTCAGGTAACAAAGATTAAAGATTTCCCCAAAAAACTCTGAGCCAAGGCAAAACAAAAAGACAGCACAACAGACAGCAAACCCAGCCAGGCAGATCTCTGAGTGAGTGAATGCATCCCTTCAAACATCAATTTCTGTTTCATCACCTTAAGTGAAGAGAGTGACACTCCAAGAGAAACCTTCCAGCTATCAATGTCTGAAAGCCTCGAGGGTGTCCAAATCTAGTCTTATGTTTCACTGAAAACATGTAAATCAGAAAACTGGATTTACAAGGACATATGGGACAAAGTGATCAACCAATATATATTTGTCAACAGGAATAATCGAGATGCAGCTCCTCCTCCCCTGTCAGTGGTGGAGTCGAAGGGGCTGGACCACTGCACTAAACACATCAAAGACTGAAGAATGCTGTTCTTCAGGTCTGCCAGGGAAGAGAGATGTGTAGTGATGCACTGAAGTATCCCAGACCGACAACTGTGCCAGTTCCAAGCACTAAACCAACGGGAAAGGCTCGAGTAAGATCAAGAAAGCCCCAAGGAAGCAAATGAGGCGAGGAAGCACGATACGAACAGGGAAGTTAAATGTACTGAAATGGAAATATGAGACCAACCAAGACAGACAGAGACTGTGGCACGTGGCAACTGAGCAAGTGAGACAGGTAGTCTGTAAGAGCCACAAAGCATTGCTTGAATCTTGAGGAAAAAAATCTGTAGCCACAAAAGTAAGGTGAGAAAGAATCAGACTGGCAAAGCAAGGACCTCTTGAAGAGACGACATTTACTACTGAAACATTTGATACTGCTGTTAGCAAATGAAGGACAATTTATTCTTTTCCACTGATCTTTTAAAACATGTTCAAGGTCTGAGACTTCCATGTTCCAGTTTGAGCCCACAGAAAGGACAACTGTTACTGCATTAAACTCGCACTGTTAAACACATCTGATGCCTTTCAGTCCTTATTTGCTCAGCATACAGGAACAGATTCGCTGCCCTGCTGGAGGGTCAAACATACACAAATGCAAAAGTCATACTATCAAAAGCAATAGCAATTCAATCAAATATATAATAGTGTCCCTCAAATTAGATTTTCACAGTCCTATTTAACAAGACAAAGCTTCAATAGAGTGAACTCATCTTTTCCATTCTCAAATTACATAGAAGCACGCTGTACAACCGATGCCACTAATTAGATGATTAAATACCATTCTAGGTGATATGCTTTCAATGTAAAATAATTATTTTCAAGGGGCAATATATTTGCTCAATCTCATTTTAAATCACAATATCATACTTTTTTAATTAAATGAAATTCCTTCCTCTGATTTTGCATGAGAAGAGCAACCAGTAGGAGAAACAGTGCCAAGGATAGATTGTCCAAGTTCCATAATGCCTGTATTTCTTCACAAAGGACCCCAGCACTCTCTGGATGGAATATAAATTTTCAGAGAACAGCAAAGACTTTATTCCTTTAAAACAGGTCAGTTGAGGGACCACTGAGCACACTCAAAACTTTCCCTGTCAAAACAGAAGATTTTTTGCCATGGTCTGATGAAGGACATTTCCAACTTTTCCTCTACTCCTCTTCAGGGGAAGAACAGCAAACAAAGCAAAGGCTTTGTCTTCCTAAATAAATCAGGGTACAATCCATTAAATGACAAAGTACTGTTGTCTTTTTGCCCCCTACTTAGAGAAAAGTAATGACATTTTGCGTTCCATGACAAAAAGTGTTTCTGCTGAGCACTGGAAATAAGTTAACAAAGAGAATTTTTTACAAACCATCTGAGAAACTTCCTTCAGGGCTAAGCAATCCAGCACCGTGTTGAATAGCTGAGAAGGTCATAAAGGAAGGGTTTTTTACCAGGCTCAGTATCCACCTGTGTCATATCCAACCATGGCAATACTTATTAACCAGAACACTACCGAGGGCTGTCTGCTGCTGGGGGTAGGAGAGACTGAGGAGAAGAGATGCCTTTTCTGTTTCCATGGAGAGAGTTTGGTCCGTCCACCCTGATTGCAGTGCCTGCCTCAGTGTGAAGCAGAAAGAACTGCTGTCATTTTTCTCTTCTCACTTGTGTGACTCTCCATGGCATCAAATTCTGCAGTCGGAAGATCTGATGGAATATCCTCTTGTAAAGTGACTGCTTCATGCTTCAAGAGCCCTGCTTACTGCACCACATATCACAGCTTCTTTGGCTCAACAGTGACGTGGAATTACACAGAACTGGGGGCAGCACAATTAAAATCGATCAAAATGCTTTAGTTGACACTGAAAATTAAAGCCTAAAGCACAAGCAACAGAACAGTTCCTTTCCCTCTTTCCTCCCCACACAGGGATGTGCCCGGCTCCCTCACAGGAGCTCTAACTACTCGAGTCTGACCTTCTGCACACACATAAACTCACTTACGTGAGGAGCTTTATAAGATCAGGGAGACTGCTCAGACGAGGGAAGTTTTGCAAGGAATATTCTTGGAAAGTGAAGTAACTACCTTCCTGACTACAGTGAATTATTATTCCCTTTGGGGAAAGAGAGCTCTCAAAATTTAATATAAAATTTTCAATGCTCTACAGACTTCAAAATTATTGTATAGAATTTCATCACGAGAGCACAACTGATATAGGATGATGCAGACTTCTTTGATATATCCTATAGAAAGAATCTTAAAACGAATTTTCAATTTACTGGTCTAGTGCCTGCCATTACATTCGAACAGACTTCCAGCATAAGAGGAAGGCAAATCTCTTACTCTCTGTAAATTGTTTTTCCACAGGAACAGTTGACAAGGTGCCGCCGTTTCGCTCTCTTTAGGAAAGGAGGCAATGCAGCCAAAGCCATTATAAATTCCCTTCAGTGGCTCAAAACACTCCAGCAGCAACATGATTCAATTCTCTGCCCTCACACAGGTGCCAAGCCTGAGACGAAGTCACGTATCATCAGCACGAGCCCAGAAGGGGGGAACACCAGCACAGCCTTAGCAGGCACGAGTACTTTTATTCCAAAGAAGTCCTAAAGACAAGTTTCAAGTCTCTTACAGCACCCACCGTGCGAAGAGCCCGCAGCAACTCTGTAGTACCCAGTTACAGAGGTGAACAAAGAAGAGGTAGGAAGGACTGCATATGGAGGAAAGGAAAAAGGACACGGGCTTTTCCAAACATGAGCTAGAAACTCACCTTGGTGAGGAGCACCACACGTTTCTGCAGCCGCCTGACCAGCGCTTCCTGATGCTCCCGTCTCTTCTTCTCATCCAGGAGCTGGCTCTGAACCCGAAGGATCTCCTCTTGCAGCTGCTGCCGGGCCTTCTCCAGCACTCGGGCACTGAGGAAGATAACACAGACCTGTGAATTCTTGACCACTGCCTGTCAGAGAGATGAGAAAAACCCGAGAGAAGCATCACCATGACACAGGACACCAGGGCTGGAGCCATTTCATCTTAGGGCTGCGCTGCTGAAAACAGAGTAACTGCAGTCTTTTTATCAGCTGTTGTCAGAAAAAGACATGAGAGAAGAACCATCCCAGTGACAGCCTTCTAGTGCAGCACAACACAATTACTGGAACCTCACACACACAAAGCATTGAAATAATTGCATATCTCTTTCAAAATCAATCCGTTTTCCTTTGAGAACATGCTTTGTTTTTAACAAACAGCACATAGTCTTGGGTTCTACTGGATCTTTTCATCTTTTTCTAACAAAGTAGAGGTAAAGCTGAGGTTTAATATGATCTGCTTTGACTGACAGACAATACTCAGCAAGTAATTAGAGCCACCACCTGCACATTGGTCTTGCCAGCAACCTGCATTGGAAGAGAAATGTCTTCTGAGGCCAGGTGATTAGCACTTCTTTTGAAATGTGGGCATGACTCTCTTATTAAACCAGAATGGCTTGGTCCCTCTTTTTCTTGGTTCTCTGTGCATCACGAAGTGGTGATGCACAACTATCCGTGTATTCCTGGAGATGCTCTCCATGTGTGCCCTTCAGACACTCAGGCTGCTGCTGGGACACCAATGGGCAGCTGCTCCAAGAACCACATCAAGCAGCTCATCACAGATCAACTGCTGGCAAAGCACGGGATGAATAACAATAAAAAAGTGAAATCATTCTTGTGACTGTTAAAGAGTTGGTTCGTAATTTAAATATGACAATTTTACCCAAGACTGAACTAAGTAAGTATTTAAAGAGTGAGCAGGACATGAAATAAAAGTACCGCATACAAGTCAAAAACCCTCAAACAAGCGAAAAAGATCAAACCCAGCATGCCTAGTTTGCTCAGGAACAGAAGATCTTTGTTTCTCTGATGCTAAAAACAACGCTGGAAAATTTATGAGTGCTTCAGAGGGGTCTTATTTCTCATTATAATTAAAAGATAATAAATCAAAATGCTTTTAGATAAAATAATACTATTGTTAAGGTATTGTTTAGATAGATCCAAAAGGGAATACTGCCCGAAAGGACACTCAGTATAAATCAAGTACAATCTGCACTGCCAGGTCACCAAATTGCATTTCTTGGTAAATTTAAGTAGGAATTCACACAAATTCCAAAGCAGCTGTCTCCCTACCTCAAAATTCTCCTCCTTGAAAATATTATACCTTTTAAAGCACTGGATGAATTAGAAACCTGTTTCAAGCTCCACTTCAATTTGGAACAATTCACGGATTAATTTAAGAATCAGGAACTATGAAATAGTCTCTTCATTGTTGCATTAAAGTGGAGAAAGTTCATCAAGACAGCTTCACATCTGCAGTTGCAACTGGATAATTGCATTACCAAGGCACCACTTCTTCCTTGGATCTGTTTTAATTAATCAGTTAAGAAGGGAACCTCTGTCCAAGAGTAATATCTGCGGTGATGGAACATGCACATGGATCAGCTCACCAAACCTGCAACAGGTCAGCCTCCAAAACAGGGCAGAGTGGATGGGAGAGACCAGGTAACCACAATTCCTGTCTTAAGATTCATTACAGTTTGTTCAACAATACTCTTTTTTTATGCATAGGGTAAACAGAAGTACAAACCCCTCACCAACTGTGTTATAACAAATTAAATTGCACTGTGGAAATCTTACTGCAAATATTTTTTGCTCTTATCAAAGAACTTCAGTCCTGATTAGAGTCAGAACAGAAAAAAAAAAAAAATGCAAACATCAGATTAAATACTACCAAAAAGCCAAGATCTCACATTTTATTATTGCAAAACATTTTGATAAGACAATGGAGAAATCTTTTTTCCTGATCTCCCAATATTGTGACTTGTTTCTATAAAAGCTGAGTGGACTGACAAATTATGATTGATTTGACATTCACAAAGAAAAATGAGATATGTGCTAGGTTTCCTTCCTCAAATAATGAAAAATATTTGAGATGCACATCTCATGGAGAGCACAGACATTCAGCCACATACAAAACTCTCAAACTAGGCTGGAAAAAAACTGTTTCAAAGCATGAGAAAAGTTAAGCAGAGAGAGACAAATGGGCAATTTCCTCAGCCACTGCATGGAAATAACAGCTTCATCTGTTTATATTTCAGCCTCAGAAGAAATGTGATGTTAATGTACATAAAATTTAAATTCCAGAGATGTCTATGAAAGCAGGGACAATCCTCAACTCTCTGAACTGAGTGTTACCATAGGTTTCCTTGCTATGGGAGGCGTGAAATTCAACTTCCTTACAACTCTCCACACCGTGCCAAAGCACATTATTGGGATCCTTTCTTCCCCTCTTAGGACAGATTGATAATTCTTTCAGAAACTGCACCAAATACAACATAAACTGCCTCTCTGAGAAAAAATCCAAAAGGAAAAGTTCTATTTCTTATTGACACAAAACAGGATTTGAAATTAGGTGCTCAGAAGCAAAAGCTGTTAAAGCCAGACTTGTGCACTCTTCTTCCACCCTGGTGACACCTATGGCTTTTCAGAAGTAATTGCTCACTCAATATGAGCATTAAATATATAAAATAAAATAGGCCCAAAGTTCTCCATTCGACCTAAGCTTGGAGAACTGGCATTTTAAAATCTTTACAAGTTTAAAGTAAACCTTTCTAAGCCTCAAAGAGAAAAAGTCATTTCTGTTCATCAGCCTATTAATGTTCCTTGTTCCACATCCCAGCGAATGAGATGCCAACACCTTTCTGCTCTGAGCTGTTGAGACTCTTCATATTTTGCTCTTCCTTTTCTGTAATCCACTTTAATGCAATCTTAATAATAAAACTTCATTTTCCAGAATATTCTCTGCAAGACCGAGAACAATGACGGCACAGAGCGAACAGTGAAGCTGTAAGATACATTTTAATAATCTCCTTCAAAAATTACAAAAGTAGATGACGGTTTCCCCCAACCAGTGATCCATAAAACATTATTTTAATCATTCCATCCCTTTCAGTAGCCAAGTACCTCAGTTACTAAAAAAAATAGCAGGGAAAACAAACAGGATGCCACAGAACTGGTCTGTGTATCAACCTGAGAGGGAAACGAGGTCCAGAGCGGCAGAGAGACAATTAGAAGAGCAGCACTGTCTGGGTCATGTTGGAACTCGGGAGAAGATGAGACACGTGTACGTACCAGGGCCAACTGTCAGGAATGAGATCACATCAAAGAGAAGCACCGAAAACCAGAGTGTGACAGGAGGAACGCTGAGGGAGCACAGGGGGAAAACACGATGACAGCGCTATCGCACACCCGCAACAGAAAAAGGAACCGCCGCCGACACCGACACCTTCATGTCAGAGTCCAAAAGAAAAAGGTTAACACAGGAGCTAATGAGGCAAAGAGGAGCAAGGGAAATTGTTTTGCAGTGAAACATTTGGATGAAGAAATGCCCATTCCTGAGGCCTGACAACTCGGAGTCTCAATGTATCCACACAGGTACAGACAGTACACACATAAACCACGCTGGAAACTGATCAACAGAGACGAACAAGGATGTTATTTTTCAATCCAGTTCTTTCCCCCAGGTTTAAAAGCCAACATGAAGGCATAAGCAGCAACTGGGTAACTCCAGCCTGTCCTGGACAGCAGCAGGACATCCCTGTCTGTGCCCTCCCTGAAAAATCTTTCCAACCTCCATTTTCTGACACGGACAACTTCCCCTCTCAGCCTCTGCCTCACCTGCCTCGATGGGAACCCCTACCATCCATCATCCAGGATGGGAATCAACAAGGAAAACCAGAAGGGAATAGGTGATGACAAAAACGGCCTGAGTTAAAAAGGGACAGGACACAGGAAAGGAAAGGTGTGGGCTTGGCAAAACTGAAAAATATCCATCTTACGTTAAAAAAGAGGAAAAAAACTGATTCACCACAAAATGCTGCTGAAAAGACTGACTGGAGCTCTGAGAGCATGGCTGCAGAAAGGAGCTGCCTAAACTAGTACATTTTAGAGAGATAAACAAGCAAAATAAGATTGTTTGGCATCTTTTGCTGCCTTTCTTCTTCACAGAGAATTGTGGACATAGGGAAGCAGCAGCACCCATCCCTGCCCTCAAACCCTCTCTGGCTGCTGAAACGGTGGGACCTGTGGAGGCCAACAGGTCCATGTTATCTATTTGCTCACTACATTCACAAAGAGAAGCAACACAAAATATGATCATCTTTAGTGGAAGTTATCACAGGGGCTCCATTTTATTTAAAGCTTTAACTGTGCCTTACACACAGCCATGTGAAATACTGCTACACAAAATACTACATGAAACAGTCCACAGAGAGTTGGTAGGACAACAAGCTTTCTTCTTGCTATTTATTGCTCACAAACATCTGCAAACTTTCTCTTGGTTCACACCTTGTATTTTCTCAAAGACATTTTACACAAGTCATCATCATCAGGCTTCCATAAATCACAAATCATTCAAAAATAAGCAGTTCATACATCACTTGGCTGCTCTACGTACAAGGAAGACACGAAACATCCTGAATTTATAATGAGGCAACAACATAAAGAGAATTATTTTGCTAGTGCAGCCAGATGAAATGGATAAGAAGCAGACAGACATTTGGAGCTTTATTGTTGCACTGACGATGTTTTATCTGTGAGACAGTATTTAATTTTACTCCCTAACCAGCAGCATAACTATCAGGCTCAGAAACACAGCGCCATCAAAGTGAACAGTTACAGAACAGAAATAACATATTTTCCACCCCAGCCCCAGTACATCGGCCATAATTGACTGGCAGGAGCTAAGATTTACTAAAAGAAATTCACATCAGGCACCTTCTGCTTCCTTTCATTACAGGGTCAACACACTTGCTGCAACACCCAGGGCTTTGCTGACGGCACCGACCCAGAGGAGCCAAGCCCAGGAATGTTGCCAAAATGCAGAGGCC